TGGGTGTTATTGAATTACTTAATTGAGCAGAGATCCTTTCCGTGTGTGTGTGTGAGGCGTGGTTATTACAGGTGCGCAATTCAAACTAAAATGAAATCCAGAAAAGAAGAACATTATTGGTGGTAAATTCGTCTAGTAATGCAGGAGAAAAATGCAGTCAAACAGAAGGGAGAAAAAGATTTCAAGAAAGGTCTAAAGTAATGTATTTAAGTCTAAGATTCCTGCGCTAAAACTAACGAGAATTCAGTTTAACCCTTGAATAGAAAAAATAAAATGGCAAGCAAATTACCATTGATTGGATACATTCTATGTTTAAACTCAATAAAAAGACACAAAACATTTATAGAAAGGAAAGAAATACTGAAATTACTGTACAAAAGGAAACACGGCGAGAAAACCACTAATTACAGACTCGCAAAACTTATCTATATGTACCAACTGACCCAGATATGGAAACAGAGTTCCTTTATCATTTTTATCGCGGTAAGTCAGGCTAAACCAACATGTTTTCGTCACTATAACTAATAACCTTTTCTTATATAAATACAGAATGCTTTACTTTACTTTTGCTACAAATTTCTTCCAATTAAATCCGACTTTGAGCGCTTTTAGTCAAAAAAGAAGGAGTTATGACTCTTTACGTAAAATACATTACATTGTCGTAATGCACTAATTAACATGAAACATGCAGGAGAACTCTGGATTATTTTACAAAATATATATTGTCAGCTATGTTTCCAATAAGGGATGGACCATTAAATAATTGATGGGGGGGGGGGGGGGAACGGGATTTTTGGTTGCATGATATATTTTTGGGCTCAACCCTTGTACGTTATTTTTTTGGCGTACAGTTAGATATTTTTCATTAGCAGAAGAGGTTGCACGATATTTTTTTAGGGTTTAACTGCTTGCTCGATATTTTTTTGGGGGGATTTACGCAACCTCCAATCAACTATCTAATGGTCTGTCCCTAATAGTACTTCTTGTCCGGTAAATAAAGTAAATTTTTGTCAGCTTTTAAATCTTGTCAGTAAAAAAAGAGGAAATCTCTGTCAAAAAGAGGCGTAGCTTGCTAGTAACATTGCGATACAATAGTTACAGCTCGATGAAAAGTGATAGGTACTTGTAAAGCTAGTTATTTTAAATAATTTCTGAGCTGACATTGTTGCACCTTTAAAAAAATGATCGATAAAGGCAAAACAATTGTAGCCAAACTAGATGTTAATTACAGGAGAAATATAGAAAATAGTAGCTAGAAAGTAACAAAGTTTCTAAGGCAGAAAATGTCCGACCAGATAATATCACATGCGCGAACTAATCTCTTTCTAGCTTCATAATCGAAATCTTGACACCAAATAAACTGCGCGAGTTGAGCTATACTTTAACGTACTCTCGCACGCATTTTGTCATGTCTCCACTGAACAGGTGTGCAATTCGAAGGACACGTTTTTACAATCGCAAAATGCGCGAGTTCAACCAGCACACTTTATCAAGCTATCTTATAATATATCCTTTTCTATTGCTTCTAGCACACGGTGCATTTTAACCAAACGTCCTATAGAACGACATCTTATTCTGATGTTGTAGCAAAGAAAAGTCTTTCGTGACTTTTAATGAATCTTAACTTGGTGAAGCACTAAATTTGTTCTAGTACCCTGTTTAAAAATAAAATAAAATTCATTAAAACTGAAACCTGTTTCGATTTTTTATGAGTGTAAGACTAATGCTGCAAAGATAGTCATATTGATATTTTTGATAGTGTTGGGTCAGTAAGAAATATTTCATCTATTCGTGTATATTCAAGTTAAAACTATTTGGCATTTATATTTAGGTAAATTACAACGAACATGCCACACACTTACAAACTAGTACATATTCTAACGATATTCTAATACCCCATTCACACCAAGGCTTAAACATGTTTTAAAGTGGTTTAACTAAACAGGTTTGAAAAACTATCTACGAACACTGCACACTACAATATTTGATAAAATAATGCATGCAAGCTATTTTTTGTCTTGCTCTGATAATATTTTAGAAAGTTTCATTATATTACTAGGCTTCTAGTCTCTCTTTTTTTTCCTAACGAAAACACAGTTTAACTAGACACGTTTGGGTGTGAATAGGGTATAAGATATATAGGAGTCCAATAAAACATGGACTCCCAAATAAAACACAAATTCCCACATGTGAACAGCTCCCCGGTCATTCAAGGTCAGACCATCGTCCTAAAGACTAGTTCTGACAAGCCTCATGTTAGTAAGACCAACAGACCTGGACAATTAGATTAGCAACATTTCATTGTTTGTCAAAGTTGACTTGAAACAAAAAATCTGGGCGTTCGATTTTTATTCTATCATTTTATTAAGTAATTCAGCTAATTTTTTGTAGTTTTTTTTTTTTTTTGTAGTAAAAATGAAAAACAGATGCCATTCTTATGCAAAGGGACGGAATCTAAAACTCATCTAAAAATCATATCTTCTACATGTGCATCAAGCTATACCTAGAGGGATTTCAAATCTAAATAGTTATTTTGTTAGCTTTGAAGCTCGGTGAGTTGATTGAAAATATCCTTTCATTAATATGACAAAAAATATCGAGTGTAATAAAAGAAAAAAATGAACTATGGAAAAGTGCCTAAGAAAATTGACGCCGAATAAATTGATTGAGTAAATCACTTTTTGTCTTTCTAAACAAGCTTTATGCTTAAGCAGAACTTGTTTAGATTTTCAAAACAAACGAGAATAGTTGAAGTGTTTTGTGCTTTCAGCTTTTCCCCCTCTAAACACGATATGATTCTTTTGTCTTCAACTTGAAATGAAAATAGCTAACGAGCTGAAGTCCATTTATTAGGTGCTAAAACCGGAATCTATTGTCGAGTTTTTAGTTCCTCTCTCGACAAACTGACTCATTTAATGTCCAAGTTTACCTGGTCTAGTGATATAATTTATCATTGGTTGACTTACTGTCAATCATTTACCTGGAACCTATTGAACTGCTCTTACAGATTGTTCTCACACGGACAGAAAACTCAACGTTTAATATTGATCTAGACTAATACGTGGAGGCCTGTTTTTAGCAGGAACAGAAATTTGAATCTTTTCTCAAAACTGAGTCAAAACCTTTTTATAATTATAGTCTTCCACAAAAATTCACTTCGTAAAAGAATTGTTACATAAAAGTTATTTGTTGTCTTAAAAAAAAATAACTAATTTACTTTCTTTTCCACATCGTCTCCCGGAAAATGATTTTATCTCAACTCACAAGAGAAGTTTATTGATCAGCCCAAAGTTTTTAGTGTCGGTCGTCACGCAACGCTACCACACATTTCGCTATTAAAAAAACTAAATATCGTTCTATTTCAGCCCCTTTTGTTTTTGTCAATTTTTCAACTGACAAATCACTACAAAGGATAAAAAGCCAAGCAACTTGGCAACTTGCATAATTTATTTAGTAGTTTTTGACAATCACCTACTGCGCATGTGCAACCAATTTGTCAAAGCTGTCCGCGTGGACAGGAAGTGAAGATGAATATTTGCTCAAGAAACTCAATAAGGAACTGCAAGTTATTGATTTACGTAGGAAATACTTGTTAACTCAGCCTTTGTTCGAACTTAAATCTCACTCCCAAAATCGGCTAATAGTCTTGTGTAAAGAAATGCTACGCAGTTTTGAGAGGTTTCTCTTTCATTCGTTGCTAAGTGTTGAGCTTTTGATTAGGTTTGAGCGCTGCCGACTCTTTTATTATAATAGAAATAAAAGCTAAATAGCGGGACATGACACAAATTAAAAGTAAAACTAGACAACTTGGTTTTTAGTTAAACAATGGACTATTGACTACACGTCCTCAAAGGAAAACCTTGTTATCTTTATAACCACTTACTTATCAAAAGCTTCAACGAAGTTGAAAACACAGGAAGCCCTGATAGATTATGAAAATCAAAATCATTCTTTCTTGCAGCCCAGATTCCCCAAGCATGCGCAGTAACTTCTCAAGAAAGAAAAGAAAATAGAAAACAGAATGCCAAAGTACCAGAGTTGGACGGGCGAGTAGACGCGTCAAGGCACGAAAATTCCCGCCAAATACACAGGTAGCCCACAAAAATAAGAGTTTGAACAAGAGACCATGGTCTCTTGGTTTGAAGAAATGTATTAGTCGGGAAATAACATACGCCCTTTTTGCAATCTAGCCACTAGAAAGCTGCTAGAAATCTCTTAGAGAACCGAGACCTGACCTTGAAAATCCTTGGAAGCCATCTCTTTTCCCATTCTAGTAAAGTATCAATATTTGCTAATATATTCAATATGATGTCAGTGAAAGCAAATTTGACAAGGACACGACTAACATGACCTTGAACAGCCTTGTCAACCTAAGAAAAAACTTATCTCAAGTTTAGCTAACAAAAATATCTAGACGAATATCAATATTTACTAGAAAATATCTCGAAAAAGGTTTGAAAAAGGTCCTTTTGTTCCGAATGTTGTGATTGGATGACTGGATAGACTGTAGTGGGTTGCATCTGACTCTCAAATGGTTTTCGTTCGTTCGTTTCGAATGCCCTGATTCGATGACTGGATAGCGTGCGTTGCACTCAGTTAGTGGGTTGCACACGTTCTCTCAGGTTGTGACCTGCAAAAATACTGCCTTTGTAATCAGTGACAACTTGTGGCAATTTCACTTTTCCAAAGTCAAAAGCCATTAAAAATTTACCTTTTTTTGGCTTTCGACTTTTGTTTAGAAAGCAGAAAAGCGAAAACATAGGGGAAAATTCAAAAAAGTTTTACAGTAAAACAGATATATACCCTACCAAACAAAGTCTACTCACAGAAAACTGCTTACATTTCGTGCGCTTTACCATTCAGCGTGACAGAAATCATTGACAGGTTTCAATATCTGTAACATGGTGACAAGTATAATGACAATACTAACAATCAGGGTAAGTTCTTTCAGGAAAAGCAAACAGGACCCGTGGGACAGCAATTATCTATGTAGCAACAGGTTGTCTATGATGCGAGCACCTTTACTTTACAATAAAAATGTAGATTACAAGCTTGCTGACATCACACTTGGCGGGCTTTTTCCCAATACCATATTCGGTCAGTCATGCGGTGAACTGGATAGCGAGAGAGGGATACATCGACTAGAAGCGATGCTGTATGCAGTAGCTCAAGTCAACAAGAACACAACTAAGATTTTTAGTTGTCTTACTTATTTAAATGCCAAGGCGCATCATTTAAATGCCCAGCTACCCCAAGGTTTTTCAGTAACGTTTTTCCATTACACTCCAACTTCAAGAGGTTAGCGTTTTAGTTCAACAACCACGCTTACATTCCAGTCGGAAGCCATTTAAATGCCAAGGCGCATCACAAAGAATTTCATCCGTAAAGCCCTATCTACCCCAAGATTTTCAGTAAAGTATTTCTACTACACCCCTACTCCAAGAGGTAGCGCTGTAGTGCAACAACCACGCTTACATTCCAAACGGAAGCCATTTGAATGCCAAGGTGCATCACAAAGACTTTCACCCGTAAAGCCCTATCTACCCCAAGATTTTTATTAAGTCTTTCTACTACAACCCTACTCCAAGGGGTAGCGCTGTAGTTCAACAACCACGCTTACATTCCAGTCGGAAGCCATTTGAATGCCATGACGCATTACAAAGACTTTCACGTGTCTTCTCCCCTACCTTTTATAATTATTATTATTTTCAACTTGACTGTCTAATAAGTATGAACAATAAGAACATCATTATTCCAGTTTACTCACAGTTTCTCACAGGTATTTTTCTCGTTTCGTGACTATATTGATATAAATGTGTTTTTCTTTTTGTTTCTAAAGTGTTAAAAAGCGCAAATCCGAATGAATCGTGTTAGACAGTTAGAAGTATGAACATGAGGTGTATCTGTGTAATACTATTGCATTCAGTTGACGCCTTGTTAGTTGAAGTGCCTGTACGGAGGTGGAAATACAAAAGGCGTTTTGTGTGTGATGTTATTTTTGATCAAAATTATCTCGCGAGAAAAAACTGTTCCGGATTTAGAAAAAAATGCAGTTGCAGCGCGTAACGCACAGAAAATTATTGCAACTTGCAGAAGTGCAGAACAGTCTCAACAGGTACAGAGTTCTAAAACAACTAGTGAGTTTTACGACGGCGTGATAATATAAGGCTGGAATGGAACCAGTTTTAACTTCTCATGGCATGTGAAGATCCACTTGGGTCGAACAAAAGCCAGCGAGGCGTTTTCACTGAGTGCCTGGGGAACAGGAAGGGCGCAATTAAAAAAAAAAGATACTCTTTTTTTTGGCAAGAGAATAAATCGCGAGGACTGTGTGCGAGAGATGAAATCATCTTGCTCAAGATTCCTAGGTTCCAGAGAGTGTTTTTCTTCTGAGAACGATCAGTTTATCGAGGAAACTTTGGTTTAAATAAACTGCAATGAAAAGTTGAACTAAAAAGACTCCATGTATGGAATGTATGGTAAAAATGTGTTCATGAGACGAATTGTAAGAAGATAGATACATAGAATTCTAGATAGAATTGTTTACTATGGGTGTGATCATGGTCTGTTATCCAATAGACCATGGTTTAAAAATATGTCAGCATTATAAAAATAGAGTCTTGCATGTATTTCAAAGTCGGTATTTTAGTTTTCGATGCGAAAAAATGTTTTAACATATAGATTGAAGGTGCGATCGTAATTCCTTATTCAACATACTATGGCCAACACATACTGTATACAGGTATTATTGTTTAACGCAGTGCAGAGTATATTATTCTATACACCATGAATTGGAAGATATATTTCCATAATTATGCAAGTCATTTTACAAAAATAATTGCACAACAATATGACTTAATGCATTCATTCTTGGTTTGGTCATCGGTATATAATTCTCTACACCATGACTGAAGATATTTCCATAATCATGTAAGTCATCATATCATAATTAAAACAATAACTGCACAGCGATGTGACTGAATGTATTAATTCAGGTGGTGGTCATGGTATATCATTCTATATACCATGGCTTGAATATATTTTCTGTAATCATGCAAACATTTTATTGCATAATCACAGAATACACAAGAGCGTAGGCTTGAAATCTGCCTTGTCAAAGTTCATGGATGTGTTCATGGTGTATTAATCAATATACCATGGCTAGCACATCACAAGGCATCTCATGTCATAAGAGTGCACATTGTGTGCGCAGGTCATCTTGTGAGTAGAAAGTAAAATGATTCTATGCAACAAAAACTGCTCAGTTGTTGGAAACAATACCACAAACAAAAATTGAAATAATTAAATACATTACTCACATCCTCAAAATTTTGGTCCCACTTTTCATCAGTTACAACAAAGTCTACTGTGTCATTCATATACTCTTCTAAAATGCTGGAAATTGAATGGAATTTGAAATAAGTTTAGATGACAAAATTATTTAATTATTATAATAAAACATTTGAAATCTAACCAAGGGCGGATCCAGGGGGAGCAAAGGGGGGCTGAAACCCCCCCTTCAGAAAAAAAAAGCAAAACAAAACTGAAGAATTAGATGCTTTTTTTATTGTTTTCTGTTGTGTTGACGGAAGAAACTCAATTAGTCCCCCCTAAAATTTTGGCTGGATCCGCCCTTGCTAACACGACCTGATTGGCTAGCTACCATGTTCATATCAGAGGACAGAGACACGCTCACGGCTGTTTATTTCTCTGTACTGTGATATAAACACATTGGGAGCTGTAGAGCACTTGAAAAGCAATAGAAAAAATCTTCTATGCCTCATGTTTCTCATCTTGGTTCTTTCATGCCCCACAGCTCCCAGCATGTTTATATCACAGCACAGAGATATGCTCACGTTTTAAATTCCTTTAGTATGGATATAAGATTGATGAGATTTTAATCTGTCATTAACAATTTAACATATAGCTATCTTGGGTGTAGATTATGTATTTACCCATTATAAGCCGTTATATAACGTATAAGAGATCGTCTTGTTGGCTGATCCATTTCTCCGTACAACAAGAAGTGCTTGTGGGAAAGGAAGTCAGGGAGTTCGGGTAGCCCCTCAGAGCCAGACTCTGGACCACTTTTAACATCTGTTGCAAGAATGATTAACAAGGAATAAAAACATGCTGAAGTGTGGTTTCCTAAGAATCAAAAATCATAGAAAACAGGGCGTGGCTAACACAGACAAAACCCTGAAACAACCTCTGGGCTGATCTAAGTCAGGGCACAGCTAACTCTCACATCGAACCCTGAAACAACCTCTGGGCTGATCTAAGTCAGGGCATGGCTGACTCACAGATCAAACCCTGAAACAACCTCTGGGCTGATCTAAGTCAGGGCACAGCTAACTCTCACATCGAACCCTGCTTGACCTGACTAATGATGATTGTTTTACCTTCTTCTTCTTCTTCTTCATCCTCAGTTGACTTATCATAAATATCATCATCATCATCATCATCATTTTCATCACAGCTGTTCTCTTTTCTTTCAGTTTGATGGATCCTAGTATGGAAATAAAATACAACTTCTGTTTAACTATCATTTGTCATAACTTGCCTTAATTGTGCATTCCCCATGTTTTGATCTTGGGGGGCCTCAATAGGGTGTTAGTAGGGGGTTGGGTAGCATAGGGTGTATTTAGGATGTTAGGCAGGGTTTTGGTAGATTGTCGTTAGGGTATTAGTAGGTAGTCTGTAAAGTGTCCCTATGGTTGTTATTTAGGGTGCTCAGCCCATTTAATGTAAAAAGAAGTGTTGTTAGGGCGATGTAAGGTGTAGGTATGCTGTTAGCTGACATCCTACCGACACCGATTTTCACACACAGAATTTCCCCTTACTTTTCCAGTTCATCTTCAGTGTCCTGGTCACTGGCGCTTTCTTCTTTTGTTGGTAAATCTTCCTTTTCCTTTTCATCATCAGTAGATTCATCAAAGACAATACCTTTCTTTTTTGGAATGGATGGTCCTCCTTATGAAAAATTTTTTTAGTTATTAATGTTTTGGAAGCACAATTACAGGATCTGGAGTGCACTGCTAAGGTGCTGCCTCTCACTCCACCTCTCACTCCGCCTCTCACTCCACCTCTCACTCCGCATCTCACTCTGCCTCTCAATCCGCCTCTCACTCTACCTCTCACTCTACCTCTCACTCTGCCTCTCACTCCACCTCTCACTCCGCCTCTCACTCTGCCTCTCCACCTCAAATTGATGAAGAGATCCAATAAACTTTACATCACTTGAGGGATATTGAGTACAGGAATCAAACCTGAGACCCCAGAGGCTAGAGGTGACTGGACTAGTGGCTGCACTACAGCACCCTTGATTCCCTGAGGGATTGTTCAAAATTGAATGCTAACAGATTACCTATTTGGTTCTTTTTATTATCTTCAGTAGACTTTGGTTCTTCAGAAGGAGAATTCCGGGACACGTTATCAGACTTGGACTCATCTTTAGTAGGTGGAGATGAGTGTTGTTTTTTGTGTGACGTTGATGGCTCTTTTTGTTCTTCCACTTCTTCCTCTTCTTCCTCAGTACTCTCTTCTGTTGAGCTTGTATCTCCAGGAAGATGAAAGCTAAGTTTATTTGAAGAAGAAAAAAAGAGAAATTAATAACTGTATATAAAAATTACTACAATAAATTGCACTTTCTGTAGAGCATCCTCACTTTCTAGTTGGCAACTTCCTTTTCTTTCTGTAGCATTCATTAATCCATTTTTCAGTCACAATTTTTCCTTTTCCTGTTTAAATACAAAAGAGAAAAAATAAGTTAGTGATAAAATTGGGGTAGGAATTTCGTAGAATTATGGAGGTCTCAATATCTTTACCTTTGACTTGATTGTATTTTGGAGTATTTGAAAAGGCACATCTGAATTTTCATAGAAAAAAAATGACAATTATATTAGTCAAATAGTGGACCTCCTTACCTTGAGCATAGTGTTTTACCATATCAGACCACATGTCATTCTCTTGAGTATTATTTGTTTGTTTAAAGTGCCTATCAACCCTATAGGATCTCTTCATGATTTGAAAGCCCTTATCAAATAAATAACAATGGCCTTTACTTTTCTTT